TGGAAAACCTAAGACGCTTCGCAGCATCGAGTTAGGTTTAATGATTTTAGCACTGAATGTGGATAATCTAACCAGCTTTACACGATGCAGCTGCAGCAGTGTGTTTTTGTGCAACCTTTTTTCTTGAAATGAAAGCTACAGAATCCATGCATTCTGACTGTAAGCTTGCTGCAATAGACGTGACTTACTTGAAAATGATTCACGCAACACCGCCTGACATGTGAAGTTTAGCTTCCATAGAACTGACATCTATTTCAAAACATTCAACATCCAGTCTCAGTCTGCTTACAGAGAACATGATTCACCGCCAATGGTCACTGGACAGCTCATGTTATTTACCAGCATTTTACCGCTACGTATTGTTTACTTCCTCTTTGTTGTTTTTTTCCCCTCTGAAGATGCTTTCAAGGCCCCTCAGAGGTCTGTAGACAAACCTTTCAGATTGTGCGTCTCCGATGTCTTTAAAGGTAACGTTAAATATGGAAATGGGCCCTTGATGTCTATTTTCTTAATGTCTGTTTTCATTTCTCCAATTTGTGTTTGATTGCTGAGATTTTGCTGACGTTGGATTTTCTCTTCCCAGACCAGGGTTCAGGCTTCTGTGTTACAGGAAAGATCGAGGCTGGTTATATTCAAACTGGAGACAAAATACTGGCAATGCCTCCAAATGAAACCTGCACTGTCAAAGGTATGCACTCATGTGCTTTTTTTCCTCCCCTCCCGGTCTTTGTTAAATGAAATGTCATCAGGGTGGGCTGAAAAATAAAAACCTTATATGGCTCGGTTTTTAGTATCTGTACTAAAAACTATCAAATGAGACCTCAATTATTTTTTTTATCTCAAAGTCTGTTAGTCATGGTTTGACACTAATACAACAAAGCATCACTCAACACCCACTGCACAGGTGGAAAGTTTATTTTTGGCAGCCATATAGTGAATTTCTGTAAACCTGAAGGGAAACAGATTGATAGCATCTAACAAAAACAATAGTTTGATATTAATAAGAAGTAGAAAAACACGCGTACATTATGCAAAATCACAAAGAAAACAAATGTAAGCCTGATGTCTGCTTACATGTGGACCTTTTTTGTGTGCATCTGCTGGTGTGGATGAGTGGTAAACACTGCCACCTTAAGGCAAGTTGGGGAACAACACTGTGCTCTTTGCACTGCAGGAATTACTCTACACGATGAGGCTCTGGACTGGGCTGCAGCAGGAGACCACGTCAGCCTGACACTCACTGGCATGGACATCATTAAGATCAAGTAAAGAATTAATTGCTAAGGATGTGTTAATATAAAACTGAATGAGTATTTTTAAATATTTCTTAACAACGGAAATTTATAATTTATATTTTGCAGTACATATAAGTATTGAGGTCTGGTTTACAGTGTTTTGATTAAATACAGACTTCGTTTATTTTGCTTGTAGGGTGTTTTTTTTAATTTTTTATTGTACTTTATTTTTCAAACATATTTTCTGGCTGCTTCCTTCCAGTATGGGCTGTGTGTTCTGTGATCCCAAAGAACCTATTCGAGTTTGCACTCGATTCAGAGCTCGAGTCCTCATTTTCAATATCGAGATCCCCATCACACAAGGCTTTCCAGTAAGTGCCAACAAAGCTCTGCTTTTACACACCTAAACAATTCTGCCAAGATTTTAGTGATGACAATTGCATAATTATGTTATGTGAAATGACTCTTTGCACAGTTGTATGTGCTTTAACTTTAGAAATGTGTGCACGCTTGGTGTAGGTACTGTTGCACTACCAGACAGTCAGCGAACCGGCCACCATAAGGAAGTTAATTAGTGTTCTACACAAGAGCAGCGGCGAGGTCCTGAAGAAGAAACCAAAGTGAGTTTGGAAAAGGATTTATCATCATTTTCTATCCAATTATGCACGCCAGCATTTTTGTTTCTGTTTATTGTGTTGTTAGGAGCGTTTTTTATTATTTGCTTTGTTTATGGTAGCGCTGAAGCTTTTCTCTGAACTTGGAAACAATGAATAGCCTTCAAAATAAAATGTTCAAGGTACTGCCTTCCAGCGCCTTAATGTCAATGTGTGGGAAGTGTGGTTAGTTAAGTAGGACATTTCTTTTTCCTAAACAAAACTTTACACGAACAGTAGTTTGGATATTTACTGTAGATGCACATACACTGCTTAAAAAAAAAAGAAAAAAATCATCACAACATAACACGAAGCATCATTTTTAGCTGCTTTGGCGTAAATGAAAGTGAGAAGTGTTCAACTGGAGCGGAAACGACAAAACTGCCCCCAGAAAGGAGGTTTTGCAGGTGGTGGCCATAGATCATTGCTCTTGCCTGACCCCTCATGACTGATTTTTTTTTCTTTCTTTTAGTTGTGCCTCATGCTAGCTCGCCCAGGTTGGCACAGTCTCAATAGTGTGGAGGAGATGCTAGGCAACGGGCAGTTTTACAAAGAAGGCTGGACAGGCCGTTGAAAGGCCTTAACCCAGCAGAAAGTCTGGTATGAGGGGGAACAGGAGGAGGAGCGCTGCCAGAGTCCTAAAAAAACTCATGTGCAGTTTTTTATCACAGACTCCATGGAGGGCATCCTGTAGTGGGACCTATGCTCATAGCTCTGTTGCCTCTCCAGTGCACCTGTTGTCATTTTCATTTATGCCAGAGCAGATGGAATTGATGCAAAATGGTTTATGCTTCCTAACATCTGGACGTTGAGTTTTCAGTGCGAGAAACATTTCACCAATCATCCAAGTGACTTCTTTTGTCTCAGCTGACTGCAGGTTTCCCCAACTTTATTAAGTCGACTTGTACCACAAGCCATCACATATAAATCAGTATTTAAGGTTTGATTCTCATCATCCACTGGAGCACAAACTGGGTGTTATCAGGATGCTACTACACAGAGCGAACACAATCCCCAGAGACACTGTGCAAAGCGAAGCAGACGAACATCATATCAAAAAGCCCAGAGTAAATGTGTTTATCCCAGCTGGACATTTGACAAAACTGGGAAAGGCTTTCAAATCTCACCACAAGGAGCAGGCTCCCAGCTGCAAACTGAGGAATATAGTGTACGCTGTTAACTGCCAGGAGGATTGCTCATATATATATATATATATCTCTATCAGGGAAAACATGTACACATCCTGGACAGGGGGGAACGCTGGTTTGAGCAGGGAGTCAAAGAGGCCATTTACGTGAAAAGGGGCCATCTCTGAATCGAGGAGGCGGCCTAAGGGTACATATTTCATCATCTTACAATGCTGTGATCGCAGCCATTCCCCAACTCTCTGTGATTAATACCGGTGGCTATTGGTCAGTGGTCATGACAATTTGCATATTAATGATCATGAAACTGACCTCATGACCCATTGTTAGTCATTATTAGTCAGTAGTTCTACTTTCAGTCATTATGCAAATATGCTGTTTATGATGTTGGGAAACCTGAAGTCAGCCGAGACTGAAGAAGTCAGTCAGATGAGTGACAAAACATTTCTCCACTGAAAATGCCACCACAAGATGGCATCATATTAACCCCCTTTTCGCCATAAAGTCAACTTCTTGTTAGAATATTCAAATTCATGTCATGCTGCTTCTTGCGTGTCTCTTCTGTTGAGGTGTTTGAGTAAGGGCATGAATGCCATCGTGGAGATCCAGACCCAGAGGCCCGTGTCATTAGAGCTGTACAAAGACTATAAGGAGCTGGGCCGCTTCATGCTGCGATATGTTGGCTCCACCATCGCCGCGGGGGTTGTCACTGAGGTAATGAGTTGGATCCTGTGGCAAAATAGTCCCACTTCCCCCGTTTAATAAAGTACTCTTACGCCATTTAATTTTTCTTTCCTGCAGATCAAAGAATGAAGACCATTTCCGCCGACACAGAGCCAGCTAGCCTGACCTTGCTCTGGAGACTGCATGCAGCCAGAGACAAAGTGCAATTCAGAGAGATCAAAGAAACGCCGCTCATGGAGTCAGAGCGTCTTATTCATCCATCCATTTATCCAATCAGTGTAGCAGCTGCTCCACCTGTCTGCCCTGAACATCACTAACTGCACAGATACCAAGTGTGTGGCAAGATGTCACAAAATAAACTCCCAATGCATCCGCCAGCTCTCACATCTCAACTCAGTGTTGCTGAGCGTCCTCCTCAGTCATACAGGCGCACTACCCAGCTCCTGCTCACTCCACCTTTATCTGTCAGTAAAGCCTGTTGCTCTTAAATTGATTCCACTTGATTAAACCAATATTTTCTTTAGACTCTGAAAGACCGATCCTACCCTGCTGAGCATCTCACAGTGATGAGTTTAACTGTGTTCTTTTTGAAGGAGCTGTAATAAATCGGATAACACTGACTTTTATTTAAGGAGTGAAAGAACAAGTCCATGTTTTTCCCCTCTCTGCTTCTATGCATGAGGGGTCAGCACTGGGTTTACACTGCCCCGTTTTCCTTGATGAGGCTTTTCTAATCAAAACTAAAATTAACTATTGTAACTAATGTTACGTTATGTGGGACTCTAAAGGGCAAAATAGTATCTTTTTTTTAAAAACTAGAACTATTTTTTTTATTTTAATTTCAATAACCGAAGGGATGAAGTTTAATGCATTCAAATGTTTACTCTAACCAGGGTGGAGTAGTTTAAGAACAAAAAAGTGAAAATTATCATTTCTACTTGGAGAAGGCATTTCTCATTTATGGTGAAACAATAATAGAGTTATTACTGATTTTCTTCTGCAAATCAGCAGAAAGATGTTGTTTGAAGACCTGGTTTGATTTCCCTCTTTATTTCTTTTTCTTTTTTTAAACAAAGGCTCATCTGAGTGCAGTTTGGGGTTCAAAGAGTTGTATCATTTCTGTGCAAAAAAAGAAAGAAGAAAAAATGAACATGACATCAGCAACTTGTGGTTTGAGTTTTGATTTCTGCATCTGAGAAAATCCCTTCATCTAGTGACTCTTCGTTATTATAATCCCATAAACCAAGAAAAACAAACCTTTCTGGAAGGGCCATCTTCAGTAAAAGTGTTGCATGTGAAGTTGAACAAAGCTTGGCTTTTGTCCTGACAGTCTCACAGCTAGAATGTAAATGCCGGCTTAATAATGTGAAATAATTTTACAAAATGCTCACAATTGTGACCCCCACACACTTTTTTTTTTTTTTTTAAGCTCTGACGCATGTTGACGAACAACCTACTCATTGTCACCTCTAATTGCGCACAATTTAGGGTGAGAGTTCAATGAGAGTTAAGTTTCCATTCTCTTTTTCTCTTTGGAAAAAACAGAAATATCATGGTTGTTTTTTTGCGTAGGTGCTAATGTGACGTTCCCTGAGGTAAAACGGCTGAAGAGATGAAATATGAAAGGACGAACGTGTTTTGTAGAGCAAGTATACAAGAATTCTCCAAACACAAACACAATGATTCATTCAAAAACTGCTGAACGATATGTTCAGCAGTTTTTGTCACTGTTAACAAATGCATGCGGGCCATGACCATGTAACTTCTTAGTATCTTCTTTTAGTCCATTCTGTTACATTTTCTTGTGATTTTTGCCAGCTTATAGACCGCAATGACATGATAGCATCACACAGTTGTTGCAGATTTATCAGTTGCAAATCTGTAATGCAAATCCCATTCCTCCACATCCCAAAGATGCTCTATTGCAAAACCTGTTAGTTGTTATCTTGCTTGAAGCAGCCAGCACAAGATGTGTACGTTGTGATTCTAAAGAGATAGACATGATCAGCAACAATTCTGGGATAGGCTGTGGGGTTTTAAACAATGCTGTCAGGATTAGAACCCGGTGTGGTCTGCTGCTGCAGCCCATCTGCTTCAAGGTTCAGTGTGCAAGTTCAGAGGTTCTTTTCTGCAGACTTTGATTGTAACAAGTAGAGTTATTGTGATAAACATCAACAAGACATTTTCACCCAAAGAGCTGCCGCTTTGGATATTTTCTCTATCAGGCCATCCTTTGTAAGCCCTGGAGATCAGCAGTTTCTGGAATACTCAAACCAGCATGTCTGGCACCAACAAGCATGCCCTATTTAAAGTCCCTTAAATCCCTTTTCTTCCCCATCCTGATGCTCAGTTAACTTCAGCAGATTGTTTTGATCATGTCTACATGAGTAACTGTACAAGGTGATGCCACTGTATGATTGGATACTTACATTAATATAAATGAATGTACATAAATATTATAATGAACTACATAGGTGTAAACTGTATATGTATGCTTTGGGATTTAACTTCATGGATCTGGTGTCCATGTCAGTAAGTGATCTTTAAGTCATTTACAGGCCTCAGGAAGAAATCCTGCACTAGTGAGCAACTCAGCGTGAAAGTTGCTTAGTTGCCACAGGATGTTAGTGGTCATTACGCAGACACGCTACTCACCTTACAGGAAAATATATGTGCTGCAAAAAAAAACCAAAAAAAAAAAAACAGGAGTAGGAAAACGATGAGAACTTTGGTTAGTGGTATGAGTTTTTTGGCTCGTATCATAATAGTGAATCACGTTCTCTGTAAGTGGATGAGTAATGTGATGGCTTCGTGGGCAGTCACCTTTGAATCAGCACTTCCTCAAGGAGTTGTGTACACAAATACAGTTGAAAGCACTTTAGGTGCTGTAAATTATGTTAATGTTTTTTGTTTTTGTTTAAAAAAACACAGTTATATCTTTTCATTGAGGTTCAGATATTAGCAGTGTTGGATTACAACCATGTACACATTGTACAGTCACAGAAATATAGCCACAGTTATAAAGGTGCAAAAATGTCCGTCTGTAAGGCAAAATAGCAGAGACATCTCTTCTCCAGGTATCACTAAACTCACCGTTTGGACTTGGCGGCTGACTGTGAACCAACACATTTCCTTTTGCTTTGCTATTTGCGAGTAGGGTCATGCTTTAGAGCTACGCAAGCTGATGAATGACCTCTTTTTAGTTTCAAAGAGACATGAAGGGTATTTCCCAAAGCCTGACCTGCATAGATCCATCCTCTTGGTCTCCTCCTCAGTCATACCGGTTACATGATTGCCTCAGAAGCGCTATGCACTAAACCGTGAACTGAATGATCAAATTGAGCTAGCGCTACAAAAACTTATGAGGGGTGTGGATGCTTACGTTTTTTTTTATGACCAAAAAGTATGAATTAGTGTAATTTATAGTTATAATTTGAAGCATATCAGTAGAATTCAACTAAGGGGGTACAGTGACATCCCTCGGCTGCCCTGGACCTCCAAGGCCCATCCAAGATTGTGAGGCCATGCATGCAATGTCCATTTAAACTTCTAGACAAGTAAATAGTGTCATGCGACATATACCTGACATTTTGTGTCCGTCTTTCTGAAACAAAACGGCTTCACCTCATTCATTTAACCACCAGCAGGAGTAGATCACCCAGTTTTATGATATATGAAGCAGCCTGTGAGAATAAACATAAAACTTTTCAGACCTCTGCAGTTTTTCTAAACACACCTAAAGTCACTCAGATGCTTGAATATTGTCTATGAACACTGGAAAGCCACATTTATCTGAACTTTGTGTTGAGCAGACATATTGCCATGATATTAATTAAGGTTCTCTTTAAGATACTGTGTGTAGAAAAAGTGTTTATTCTTTCAGGCTCAAAGATCTGTGTGAATAAGGTCTGATAAAGAGTTAGGCAATAGGATCATCAGAGAGTAAGCCCCTCCTTTGGAGGCCCAGTGTTTGTCAGGTTAGCAGTACGTGCAGTCATCGTTTCCTCTGGGAAGTGAACTGGTGTTACTTTGGCGCCTGTAATTAACAAGCATGTCGAAAACGTCAGAAGAGCGCTCACTTTTGGTTCTGGAGAACTACATCGGAGGAAAGTTCGTCTCTTGTCGGAGTTACATCGACTCCTACGACCCGTCAACTGGCGAGGTCTACTGCAAAGTGCCGGACAGTGGCAAGGAGGAGGTGGGGATCAAGTTAAAACCATCTGCAAAACCAAGAGGTTGAGATTTGAATGAATCCTTGCATATGTTTAGACATGTTTGTATAAGTCCTGCTGTGTGTTTGCATTAGGCTGGACTGACAGCTTTCTGCAGAGCTGTCTTATTTAAATACAATTTCTTTTTTCTGTACTAAGCTGCAATATCACAACATTTGCACAAGAATATTTTTTGCATTGAGTTGGATTGCTTGTTATTACAAATCCTGTTGTCAGATTTAAAGGCCTTTGACTCAGCAATATTAGTACATTTTAGTGTATGTGTTTTGATGCATGCTTAATCATCCAGGTAGGAAAGTCCCAGAAAGTCTATTGTGTTCATCTAGACATTGCATTATCACTAGGAGAAATTTTTGTCACTCATCCGAGAGACTTCTTCCGTGTCAGGGACTGAAGAGATGAACAGAACAAACTTTCTGAATGAGGTTTGAGGTTTCAGGTTAGTGCGTTGCATAAAATGTGGTTTCAGAAAAAGCCACCTTTGAGCTTTGCAGAGCAAGCAATCAAGTAATCATTAAACACATCAGTTAACTTCAGCTGTTCATGTTTGACCTTCTTCAAAAATGTAGTGTTTTGTTGAAATGCATCCGTGTACATATTATTGTAGTTAACAATATTCTTAAGTCCTCTGAACTCCTTAGAAATTAATATAAAGGATCAGCTTTTTAAGGTTTTAAGAGTGTATCAATAAAATGTCACTTAAACAATCCTGCGTATTCTCTCAAAGTGGAATCAAGCTCTATTCTTGGACGTGATCGTGCTTAATTGTGCAGTTTGCTTATACCTCATCTCATGCCTGCAGGTGGATGCAGCAGTGGCAGCAGCTAAAGAAGCGTTCCCCGAATGGTCTGCATGCAGCCCAGAGCAGCGAGCGAAGATCCTCCACAAACTGGCTGACCTGATTGAGGCCAACCTTGAGGAGTTTGCACAAGCTGAGTCCAAAGACCAAGGTTGCTTAGACTGTCTTATATGTTGCCACCTTAGAAATCAGGTCACTAATGCAGGAATAGAAATGAGTGGCTCAGAAATCACTTTTTATTAATCAAATACTGATTCATGAATGTCTAATCTTGTACTCTGTCTCAAAAATGTGTAGGCAACTGCTTCATTTGCCCTTTGATGCTCACTTCAGAATCTTTGTAGGTAAAACGATAACAGCTGCACGGACTGTGGATATTCCCCGGGCAGCGTACAACTTCCGCTTCTTTTCGACATCCATGCTTCACCACACCACCGACTGCAGCCCAATGGACCACATGGGCTGCCTGAACTACACTGTCCGCTGCCCCGTGGGAGTGGGTGAGCACTTAGGCTGCTTGCAGTGAAACCTTCAGATGACCCATTTGTCCTGTGTATGTGCTCTTAAATGGCCTTTGGCGTGTTTTTTAGCTGGTTTGATCAGTCCCTGGAATCTGCCCCTGTACCTTCTGACCTGGAAGATTGCACCTGCAATCGCTGCAGGCAACACAGTGGTGGCCAAACCCAGCGAGATGACCTCTGTGACCGCCTGGATGCTGTGCAAGTTGATGCAGCAAGCAGGTAGGACTACAGGACCCACAGTGCAATGTAATGCAGATGGAGTTAAAGCAAAAAACATAACACATTAAGGTATTTTTTTTAAATCTGCACATAATGAACAAATATGAGTACAGTGGTCCCTCGTTACTTGCGGGAGTTACGTTCCAAAAATAACCCGCAGTAGGTGAAATCCGCGAAGGAGCCAACTTTATTTTTTACAATTATTACAGATGCTTTGAGTCTGTAAAACCCCTCACTACACACTTTATACACTTTTCTCAGACAGGCACGAACATTTTCACACTTTGCTCTCGTTTAAACACTCAAAGTTCAGACCTTCGTAGAAAAATAAGACCAGTATTATAGAATGAAACCGCGCAAAACGTTTCGTTGACATTTTTGTGTTTGTTGGGGAGAAAACTTACAAACATACTATGCATACATGCTAGCGAACGAAGATTTATCTAAATTTGACAAGCTGAACGCATTCTGTACTGCGCAGGACACACGGCACGAGATTGATTGAAATTGTCTTCAGCCAATCAGGACGCAGAACATAATGCGCTGTTAAAAAAAAAAGGAAAAATACACAAAAAACAGCGAGGCTGCGAAAGGTGAATCGAGGGACCACTGTAGTGCGAAATTAATCAGTGGTCTGCAATCATCTTCATCTCTTTAGGTGTTCCTCCCGGTGTCGTCAACATCGTATTTGGCAGTGGTCCAAGAGCCGGTGACGCGCTTGTTAGTCACCCCGAGGTCCCTTTAATCTCCTTCACTGGGTCCACAGCCACTGCCCAGCGCATTACCGAGCGGAGCGCCCCCTACTGTAAGAAGCTCTCACTGGAGCTGGGAGGCAAAAACCCAGCTATTATTTTTGCTGACGCAGACTTAGACCAGTGCATCGAGACCACAGTCCGATCCAGCTTTCTCAATCAGGTGAAGACAAAATGTGACTGAAGATATTTTTTTCTTTAGGACTGTTTAGCTTTATTTATTTTATTTATGGGCACCATCACTTTTAGTTTTGGCTTTTATATATTATAAACTCAATTGACAGGACAGCTGCCCGAGAGTCTTTAGAGCTTCTGTGTCCACAGATTGTTATTTTAACTGGAAATTTGTTGGGGAATGTGCAGCAGTGAAGCACATTTTTACAGAACGAAAAGTTCAAGAAATCATTTTTTTATTACAAGGTTATTAATCTCATGCTCTCCAGATCATAGCTGGAAATGTTTGTTGTCAGTTTAGAAGTGTTAAAGTTAATCTTTTTTTTGTACTGAAATGTGACGGTAGGTGTTTTGAATATACGTTAGACTGCAGAATCCGTCACAACCTAACTTGATGAGTTTGATTTGATATGTATAAATTGCCGGTGTGCAAAAAAACTGTAAAACAAAGCCCAGAAGGTCCATTTTTAATACATACTTAACAGGAATTTTTTTTTTCAAATTTTCTTTCATTGAACTTCTTAATGCAAATGAAATGAAGGTGATTATCTGTAACAGGAGCTTCTGTATGTGTTGAGGGTGTAATAACATAGTTTGTCCACAAGGGGGCAATCACAGCCCAACTTTTTGTCTTAAGGTGGGTTGTCAAAAAACAAATTTCTGAAGTCCTCCATTTTTATCTTCTCCATTTCTTCTCCTCTTAGGGTGAAGTCTGCCTGTGTACCAGCAGGATTTATGTAGAGAGGAGTATTTACTCGGAGTTCCTGGAAAGGTTTGTGGCTGCGGCTAAGAAGTGGAAGACTGGTGTCCCCTCTGACCCCAGCAGCAAAAATGGAGCGCTCATCAGTAAAGAACACCTGGAGAAGGTGCTTACATGTAATGCAGAATGTGACTAAACACTTGTTGTTTAAATTTCTGATGTGCTATAGTTTGAAATGTCTCCTTTCAAATCCAAAGGTTCGTAGCTATATAGCCCTTGCCAAATCAGAAGGTGGCATAATTCACTGCGGTGAGGGGCTCGACCAGCTGGACCTCCCGCAGCGCAACAAGTCTGGATACTTCATGCCGACGACGGTCATCACAGGCATATCTGACAGCTCCCGTGTCATGCAGGAGGAGATCTTTGGTCCCGTCACCTGCATCAGCCCTTTTGATACTGAGGATGAAGCTGTTGCCAGGGGCAATGGTGTACGTTACGGTCTGTCAGCCACAGTGTGGTCCAAGGATGTGGGGAAGGTTCACAGGGTGGCCCAGCAGTTACAAGCAGGTCTGGTGTGGACCAACTGCTGGCTGGTGAGAGATCTGAACCTCCCATTTGGAGGAATGAAGAACTCTGGTGTGGGAAGGGAGGGAGGAAAAGATTCCTATCACTTCTTCACAGAGGTGAAGAGTATCACTATCAAGCACTGAGAGAGGAAAGTTTGTTTATTTGTAGAATACAAAAGTCAAAAATGTCTGGAGCGACAAATATAAGAAAACAATCAAATCCAATATAAATTTGCCACTATTTGCCAATAAAGTTGCTGAAATTGCAGTTTATGTTCATTATTTATGGATGAATTGTCAACAAGCCTAAATTTGCAAATGAAAACAACAAAAACTGCTCTTGAGCTTCAGAAATAATCTGTGTCTGTGTGCGCTATAGCCAACCAAAACTTAACAGTACAATTTGTAAATATAGGAACTGCCATTTCCCCAAAGACAGTTTGTCATGCTTCCTGCAAGATGACATAAAGATATTTAAAAAGAAGGGGGAAAATGCAGTCATCTTATTATTCACATTTAGGTATCCATGTGCTTCAGGCTGAAAAACCCAGTGACTGAATACGTGTAGCTGAAGCTCGTCAGGACAGTGTGTTATGATGGCAGGTTGTGGAGTTCAGTTTGTTTTTAATCTTTACTTTCAATGATGTCATTGTCTTAATAAAATCTGTAACACGGTCTGTAAAAAATGCTGCATTTCTGCTCTGATCGAACTGTTAGAAACAGTTTTACTAACAAACTTGTTGTCTCTTGTACATTTGTGACATCATTTGTCTTTATTTTTCTAAACCGTTCAAACCTCAAGGTCTGCAAACATACTCATAAGTAACTGTTTGACACAGACATGTTTTTTTATCTCTTAGCTGCTGACGTAGGAGAGGTGAGTAAATGACGAGTAGACTCTCCTGTGGGGTTATTGGACAACGTGTTTGAAGATAGAAGTGGGCTGATGGAGACGATTGCTGTCTGGTGCTCTACCTGTAGTGTGTGTGTGTTTACATTTTTTAAAGGATTATGAGACAAAGATGAATACTGATACTATTTACAGCAAAGGGAATGTGAAATATTGTACTACACTAAATATTTAACTGGCTGCTGCATGTCACATGGCAAATGTATTTCAGTTTATCTACTGTGCACCACGAAACTGCTGGGTCCAAAGTTGGAGGCACTGACGTCAGTTGAATATGGGCGAGGCTACTGCAAGCATCTCACTAATGATTGTCAGATAAACCCCAAACGTTCTGTTTTGCATGGTTTCCTTTTATGGAAATGATCCTGGCTGCTTCTGCTGGCACAGGTGGTTCTCCAAAGCTACAAATACCTCTGGAAAGGTATCAAAATATACAATATACTGCCAGAAGTATTCAGTCACCCATGCAAATCATTAAATTCAGGTGTTCCAAACACTTTTGTGGCTGCTTTCAGGAGAGTACAAATCACAGAGTGGGGTCAGTGGTGCACAGAGGTCTAAACTTTCTGCAGAGTCAATTGCTGCAGAGCTCTAAACTTACTGTGGCCTTAAGATTAGCTCAAGAACAGTGTGTAGAACACTTCATGTAATGGGTTTCCATAAAGGTCCATAAAGGCATGGATGAGTCCTGACCGCAACCTCTGCCATTAATTAGAGGACAGGAAAGTCTTCCCAGAAGAGTTGAAGCTGCAAAAGGTGGGCCAACATTATCTTAAACCCTATGGACTAAGAATGAGATGTCACCCAAGTTCATGTATGTGTGAAAGCAGCAAAGCGAATACTTTTGGCAATATAGTTTATCGTGTTCACTCATGTCATTGTGCTTACATCTATTAACTCACTATATAGACCCAACTGTAGTACAACAGAGGGTGATCAAATAAGCAAAAGGGAGATGATCAGCACTGGTTAAATTTTAAAGTTCCACAGCAGTACATCCAATAAGTTTCCAGAATTTGAATGTAAAACATCCTGAAATAAGAGTCTGAAAGTAAGTAGAGCCAAGGCAGAATAGATGTGTGTGTGAATGGGAGTGAGGTAGGTGGAAAGGAGAGGCTGCAAAGAGTAGAGGCAATGATGGTGGATACGTTTAAATACCAGGTGGTCAACCATTCAAAGGGAAGTTTTGGACACAAAGTTAGAGAGACAGCGTTGGTTTTGACATCTTCAGAGGAGGGATAGTATTGGGCAAAGCATGTTGACTATGGAGCTGCCAGGTAGGAGCAAAAGAGGAGAGACAGAACCAAAGCTCCATCTATGACATCTAATCCATGCTTTCTCTTTGATATATAAAATAATACTAATAGAAACTTAGAAAGGTAAATTCTGGGTACCAGAAACTTTACATAGCAGGTAACTAAACATGAGTGATGTGACCTCCACTACAATTAAGATCATATAATAATATCTTTCCATGCTAATCATCTGATCAGTGGTGCAGCGTATATGCAGATAATTACGTGTGATGTTGCATTTCCTTTCAATTCAGGAGTGGTGCCAGTATAGGAAAAGTGGGCACGCTGGAGGAGGGGAGGCGGGGGGCCCTATCCTTTTAGCAAGTGTGTACAATCACGTCCCCTGGAGAGCTCTATGTGACACTTACCACAGAGTCAGGGTGTGGGTCCCACCCTCTGTGTTTTGGCTAGGGACCGGGTATTGTGCTGTGTCACGCTGTATGCCTGCACACACACACTCTTTTTTTTTTTTTTTTTTTTTGCCTGTCCCGTTTGGCTCTTTTGCCATCAGAATTGTTGTCTAAAGGCAAAGAAAGATGCCCAACGGATTTACTTTACCAAATTGACCATCCCAGCCTTGCCGTAATGGTCCATTTGATTCACCTTTTATTGTTTATTTTATTTTCACTTACTGAATACGGGACAGACTTGACTGGGGGAAAGAAGGGGAGAAAGAAAGAGGGAAAGAGAAACAGCTGAGAAGAGGGACGGGGGAGAAGGGCAAAAGACAAAAACCAACAGAATAAGCAGAGAAAAAAAAATGCATATATCAATCACCTGGATCACCTGTTGAGAAAGAAAAAAGAAAACAAGCAGAAGAGAACAAGAGTAATAGAATAAACAACATCACAATGATATATGGGAATATGACAGTAAATACTAAATATTAAACATTATTGTGCAGCACATAAGATCAACAGAACACAGTGTGCTTTGAGGTAGGAGCCAAAAAGGGTGTAGTTTGTGGGTGTGATCACCCGTGTGTACACCTGTGAGCATGGACGCGCTTGTTTTTTTAAAAGGTTCCTTCATGTAATGATCTGCTAGAGGGTGTGGGGGGGCCACAGCCCCGTCCTCCAGGGCATGAAGCAGGTATGGAGGAGATCAAAACTCCAGACATCCAGAGGCCCCCAGAACACAAGAGACCAAGGAAGACCAACAGAGGGGCAGCCGCGCCACTGTCCCAGAAAGAGCTGAGGAGAGTCCCAGATGAGGGCTCACTCAGCAGCCGCGGAGCAGAAGCCAGGGGGAGTTGCAGTGACGCGCCCGTGAGCTCCGCCAGCAGCCAGCTGTGCCTGAGTGACCGAGCCCCAGGCCGAGAGGCCGGGGGCACCCCACCTCCGAAGTGGCCCGAGCGAGCCCCAGGCTCCAGGCCCCGATAAGCGGCCGCCAAGGAGTGAGCCGGTGTGTACCTGGACGCCCATCCCCGGACACAAAGAACCACCAACGCACCGATGTCTGAGGGAGTCCGCCACTGGCAGGGGAAGTGGTGGTGGGGGAGATAGGCCTCCAAACCTTGGAGGGCCTGAGATGTCCCCAGAGAGGTGGCGTCTGATACCCAACCTGACATATAGACACAGACATACAGGCACACACAGATACAAACATCCATTCCCACCCTCATGCTCTCATATGCACTTACTCCACACTCAACCAACGTGGAGACAGACATAAAGAGACGCTGTACACACAGATCACACTCCCCAAGCGTACTCTACGAACCGGGTCTAGGTACCCTTGCCCCTGGAGGGGGGAACTGCACCCAGACCCAGGTGGTGTTACCCTTTTCCCTGCGGTGGGGAGAAGCAGACCGCCCTGACTCCGCAGCAGGGAGGGAAGTTTTGGACACAAAGTTAGAGAGACAGTGTTGGTTTTGACATCTTCAGAGGAGGGATAGTATTGGGCAAAGCATGTTGACTATGGAGCTGCCAGGTAGGAGCAAAAGAGGAGAGACAGAACCAAAGCTCCATCTATGACATCTAATCCATGCTTTCTCTTTGATATATAAAATAATACTAATAGAAACTTAGAAAGGTAAATTCTGGGTACCAGAAACTTTACATAGCAGGTAACTAAACATGAGTGATGTGACCTCCACTACAATTAAGATCATATAATAATATCTTTCCATGCTAATCATCTGATCAGTGGTGCAGCGTATATGCAGATAATTACGTGTGATGTTGCATTTCCTTTCAATTCAGGAGTGGTGCCAGTATAGGAAAAGTGGGCACGCTGGAGGAGGGGAGGCGGGGGGCCCTATCCTTTTAGCAAGTGTGTACAATCACGTCCCCTGGAGAGCTCTATGTGACACTTAGCACAGAGCCAGGGTGTGGGTCCCACCCTCTGTGTTTTGGCTAGGGACCGGGTATTGTGCTGTGTCACGCTGTATGCCTGCACACACACACTCTGATGCCTTCCTAGAACATAGTGTCAAAGTGGATGCCATCCAAAAGTAAGGCTAAGGTGTCAGAGGCTACTTGCTTTCCACTGGCACACACTCCCACCAAACGGGCGTGATGTGTGAAACAGAATGGGAACGCAGTAAGTCAGCATTTATTTCATTTTGCTCCGTTTCCGCCCTTTTTGCTGGATTTATCTTTCATCTTGCCTTTTGTGAAGGTTTCATTGAGAAGGAAAGGCCCCGCTGTAGAAGGACTCGCCCCGCCGTACGTGACTTTGAGAACGCTGCCAATGCCCATTTGAGAAAAAAAAAACAAACCCAAAACAAAACAAAGGAAATGTTAATGTCTGTGTTGATTGATTGATACTTAAACATTATAATTATATTACATAAGAAAAAATAGCAAAAAGGGGCTTGGTTCATGAGTAAATCATTGTTTAAGATGTTATCGATACATTTTTACTTTTATAGGGAGCCTTTAACTTTCACTTTAGTTACTGGGCACTTGAAGGAACGATGGTGGCGTCCTTCCATTTTATATCCACAAGTTTTCTGCAATATTTAGCCCTGCAGAATATATAAACAATCTGTTTTCATGCTGGCTGCAGGGATGTGAGAGGCCTCCTGCAGAGGGGCTTCGCACTCATATGTATGTGCTG